CACACACACACACACACACACACACACACACACACACACACACACACCCCTCTTAAAGAGTTACTCCCCGAACTTGAAGTAAAAGCTGGTCACGAGCATATGCATGACCCAAATGTGGTGCCAAGGGAACCGAACCCACAGCCACCATTCCAAAACCCTGCGTGAAAGTCCCCGGGGGAGATAGAAGAGTGAGAGTTGCTCTCAGCCACTCCACCCTGTGCTATTTTAAGCACCATGACTTCATTCTTGTTTGTTCTGAAGCGGCACAGATGGGCCGCCTCAATTTATGTTACTACAAGAGAAGGAGCCCCAGATTCAAAGCTGCACGTTTCTCTTGCCTGTGTTAGGGCATCCTGAAGTTAACTGTGGCGTGTCAAGCAAAGGAAAGCACTGTTTCTTTTTTTTTCCCCCTCTCTCTCTTTTTCAAAAGCCTAAGTTTTTAAACGTAGCGATATTTTATGGAACCAACAGCCAGATCTACCTGAAAAATGGCACAAGGTAAATTGCTAATAAAACCTTTTCAGCTTTGTCAGTGCCACCCAACTGTGAAACCCATATCCCCTGCTCCAGACACAGAAAGGATCCTCTTCCTAAGAGAGCAGGAGGCAGGACAGGGCAATGATCCAAGGTGGAGCACGATTCAAGGTGGAAGGGGCTCCACACCACATCTCATCGGGCCACCTTCGAGGGCACAGGGCTTTTCCCCGAACCTTTCCAAGAAACTTAACGAACCAGATTGTCTAAGGGGAAAGCATAGAATAGATTATATTTTTTAATTTTTTGAGATGGAGTCTTGCTCTGTCACCCAGGCTGGACTGCAGTGGCACCATCTCAGCTCACTGCAATTGAGTTTTGAACTAGGTAGAGGTGGTCATTACCCCACATTATAAAAGTACTAAATGCCACTGAATTATTCATTTTAAAATGATTAATTTTGTCTTAGGTCAATTTCACTTCAATTATAAAACACACACATGCATAATCTACATCAGTGTCACTATTTACGGTACAACCCACACATCGCCAGCAGCTGTTAGCCTTGATGTATTTGGGCCGCCTCCTGGTTCAAGAGATTCTCCTGTCTCGCCTTCCCGAGTACCTGGGATTACAGCCATGTGCTACCACACCCAGTAATTTTTCTATTTTTAGTAAAGACAGGATTTCTCCATGTTGGCCAGGCTGGTCTCAAACTCCTGGCCACAGTGATCCACCCACCTCAGCCTTCCAAAGTGCTGGGATTACAGGCATAAGCCACCACACCCAGCCAGATTACATTTATTAAACCTCTCCCAGGCACTGCACAATCTGATTAAAAATTCCCAACAATCCTATGAGGTAAGTCCTCTTATCATTCTTTTTTTGAGTCAGAGGCTCGCTCTGTCACCCAGGTTGGAGTGCTGTGGCAACCTTTGCCTCCCAGGTTTAATCAATTCTCCTGCCTTAGTCTCCCGGGTAGCTGGGATGAGAGGCTTGTGCCACCATCCCTGGCTAATTTTCATATTTTTAGTAGAGATGGGGTTTTACGATGTTGGCCCGGCTGGTCTCAAACTCCGGACCTCAGGTGATCTACCCACCTCAGCCTCCCAAAGTGCTGGAATTACAGCATGAGCCACCATGCCCGACCTCCTTAACATTTTTTCTCTTTCTATTTTCAAACAGAGAAAGCCAGCTCCAAGAAGTAGGGAAATAACAAGGCTGAGTTAGCCTCCACTTCACGGCGGGTATGTCGAGGAGCTTTGCCTGCCCTCCGAGGGGCAGACCAGAAGCTTCCTGAGGAACACTCATCCTTCACTAGTCTACCCAATGTGTCGGCCTCCCCTGCCAGCAAACAGCATGTAGAAATAATGAACAGGCCAGGCGCTGTGGTTCACACCTGTAATCCCAGCACTTTGGGAGGCTGAGGCGGGCGAATCACAAGGTCAGGAGTTTGAGACCAGCCTGGCCTACATAGTGAAACCCCGTATCTACTAAAAATACAAAAAATTAGCTGGGTGTGGTGGCGGGTGCCTGTAATCCCAGCCACTTGGGAAGCTGAGACAGGAGAAGTCTTCTGGGAGGCAGAAGTTGCAATGAGCCAAGATCGCACCATTGCACTCCAACCCATGAGACAGTGTGAGACTCCAACTCAAAAAACAAAACAAACAAACCAGGTGTGGTGGCTCACACCTGTAATCCCAGCACTTTGGGAGGCCAACGCAGGTGGATCATGAGGTCAGGCATTTGAGACCAGCCTGACTCATATGGTGAAACCCTGTCTCTATTAAAAATACAAAAATTAGCCGGGCTTGGTGGCATGTGCCTGTAATCCCAGCTACTCATAAGGCTGAGTCAGGAGAACTGCTTGCACCCAGGAGGTGGAGGTTGCAGTGAGCCGAGATTGTGCCGCTGCACTCCAGCCTGGGCGACAGCGCTGGCTGTCAGTTCCATGAAATATGGCTACGTTTGTGAACTCCTCTTAGGCTTTTAAAAAAGAGAGAGAGAAAAAAAAAAAGAAAGTGCTTTTTTTTCTGTCTCAAAAAAAGAAACAAAGAAAGAATGAATAAAGATGCATGGCAAACAGTAAAACCCAAGGGCCAGTCCTACAACTGACACTTCCCAATGACTTGGCCTTGAGCAAGTTCCATTGCCCTTGAGTTCTGCTTGGGTCCCCCATGTGTAAAAGTATGTTTGGTTCTCTAACACAGGACTGGGGACAAGGCTGACAGCTCCTGGTGATGCATGGGGTGTATCATATATAGTGACACTGTTACAGATTATGCATGTGTGTGTTTTATAATTGAAATGAAATTGATATAAAACAAAATTAATCATTTTAAAGTGAATAATTAAGTGGCATTTAGTGCATTTATAATGTCAGTAATGACTGCTTCTACCTAGTTCAAAAACATTTTCAATGCCCCAAAATAAATCCCCATGGCCATTAAGCAGTCAGTCTCCATTCCCTACTCTCACCAGCCTCTGGCAACTAGGAATCTGCTTCCTGTCTCAATGGATTTACCTATCCTGAGCATTCCCCATAAGTGGAATTATACAACATGAGACCTCTTTGTCTTTTGACTTTCACATAACACATGTTTGAGGTTTGTCCAAGTTGTAGCATCTTCACTTCATCCCTTTTTGTGGTTGAATAATATTCCATTATGTACATCCACAATTTATTTATCATTCATCCAGTTGAGATGTTCTGCCTTTTGGTTATGGTGAATAATGTTGCTGTGAACATTCATGCAGCAGGTGATGTCTTTTAAGGCACTTTCACATTTGATTCTAACAAGTATGTGAGGTAGACCCTGGTCAAATAAACAGCATTTG